TTACCATTACCACCACCACCACTCCCCTCACCAACACCATCTTATTGGTCACCATTATCTCCTCCTTCACTGCCACCGTCGCTGCCACCTTCATCAACACTACCGTGACTATCACCATCACCACGAACATGAGCGTGACTACTATAATCACCATTCTCAACCTCATCTCACCACCACCTTTGCTGTAATAGCTACAGGGAGGGTTTTTTCCCTTTCTGAGTACTGCGGAGAAACAATGAAAAGAAAAGAATCTCACAATTTGCCTTTGCTCCAGAGTCTCACTCTAGATGGGACAGTCCCAGCTTTTAGATAGAATCAAGCTGACCATAAGCTCTAGTCCAGCTATCAGAGTTGGGCAGCAGAGATGGGTGAGAATGTAGTCCTCTAACTGAGAAAAAGGCAATGTGGCATTGTGGGAAGAAGGGTTTCTGAGTCAGTCAAAACTGAGGTCAAAACTTAGTACCTGAGTACCTGATTCTAGGTCCTTATTCACCGTGTGACTTGGCAAGTCATGCAACCTCTCTGAGCCTAACCTACAATGTGGAGATAATGCCTACTTTGCAAAACTAGCATAAGTTGTTAGGACTAGAATCTGGGTTACAGAAACAAACCTCAAAAATTGTCTACCATGTAGTAGATGTTCAAAAACAGGAATTCCTTGTAGTTGCTATTGTTGTGTTGTTGTTGTTGTTGTTTTAACATCTTACGTCCTCTGAGTTGTCAGTTCCTTGTCTGTAAAACTGGGCTTGAATCAGCCTAGGTTTTTGTCCCTTCTGGTAAAGGGCACTATGGGAAGTGAACAGCCAAAGAGTTTGACTCACAGGGGTTCCCCCAGAACCTGCCCCAGGCAGTGCCAGGGCACGTGGAAAGCACATGCGGGGAAAGACATAGTGCTTTCCTGAGCAGAGTTATGATGAGGACCTACACAATAGAAAGGAAGAGAGAAAGGGAAAGAAGGGGAAAAAGAAAGACAAAGAGAGACAGAGAGAAAGAAAGAAAGAAAGAAAGAAAGAAAGAAAGAAAGAAAGAAAGAAAGAAAGAAAGAAAGAAAGCAAGCTAGCTGAGAATGTATGATTTGCATCAGCAAAATAAGGAAATGTGGTCATTTCAACCCAAACAGGGCTACAGAAGTGAATGCATGTGTAGTTGAAGGAATTTGAAACCCAAACTAAGAAGAGCCCATTATGTTCCAAGATGCGTAGGGAAAAGGCTCCTGGATCTCTTATCATTGGGAAAATGCTTCACCACTTGTGACGGTTCAATATTTACTTATGGCTCCAGTTCTTACAGAAGTGAGAGTAGAGAGTTATTAACTTGAACCTTGGTTTGCTCATCCCAATACGGAAAGGAATCGGTAATCCCTACTTAGTAGAGAATGTGGAGTTGTATTATAATAAATGTAATCCTCATCCCTCACAGATTGTCTGGTGTCTGGCAGGGATCTAATGTAGCAGTTATTTTTAAAGCACCCTCTGTGCCTTCAACACCCTTGATTCTCAGTGTAGTCCTTGCTAGGTCCTTACTATTCCCACCACCATTTTTTTTTTTTCTGCTAGAGGAAGCTGAGATTCAGGAGCTACGTGCCTAAGGTCGCACAGCTGACATGGAGTCCAATGGATCCCTGATCTCATCTGTTTGCAGATTGAAGGGCAGTAAAAGGGGTCTCCCTGTGCTGGGTCTGCGCTGTCTAGAGGAAGATGGACAGCAAGGACAGGATGGGTGGGGGTGGGGGAGACGTGCTGGGGAGCAGGCCTCTGACTGGAGCACTTCTTCTTCCCCAGGCTGGCCACTGGGCTCCCTGATCCTTTCTTACCCTCTGCCTCCATCTGCTTCCCCATCCTGATCCCAGGAGGACAATGTGCTCCCCAGCTCCTCTGTGGGTCCTCCACTTCCTGAGCACCTGGACCCTGGGTTCCCCTCTTAGCATGCCCTTGTGTGGGGAGGGAAGTCCCCCTTCCCACGTACACACACCATACACACACTCAGGTTCACCCCGTGACACTGGGCACAGAAGCAGAGGATGTTCTCTTTCTGCAAACACAAAGGGAACAGTTTCCTCTCTCTCTCTCTCTCTCTCTCTCTCCCCCCCCCATATATGCATATAAGTCATATAAACATATGAAGGAAACACATAGTCCCACTGGGGAGCACTGGAGGTGGGGGACAGGCGTGTGTTGGGGGAGGGGCACCATTACTAATAGAGAACTTCCTCCAAGTCACCAAACAGTTCTTCTGGGTCGTGCTACTGTGATTCAGCTCCTTGGCTGAACTCTTAGCGTAGGTGACAAAACCGTCCTGTGGAAGAACGGACAGACCACAGTGACGCTTCAGTCAAGGACAGACCACATGTACGGTGATGGTCCCATAATATTATAATGGAGCTGAAAAATTCCTGCTGCTCAGTGACGGCACAGCCATCCTAACACGGTGGCACCGTGCGTTACTCACGTGTCTGTGGTGGTGCTGACGTGAGCAAACCTCCCGCTCCGCCAGCCGTGCAGTGATAACAAATGACTGTTTACCGGTTTGTGTTTTTACTGTAATATATTTTTATCGTTATTTTAGAGTGTACTCCTTCTACTTATTACCAAAAAAAGTTCACTGCAAATCAGCCTCAGGCAGGTCCTTTGGGAAGTATTCCAGAAAAAGATATCGTTATAGATGACAACTCCACGAGTGTTACTGTCCCGGAGGACCTGCCACTGGAACAAGAATGTGAAGGTGGAGGACAGGGGTGTTGACGATCCTGACCCCGCAGAGGCCTGGGCTAATGTGTGTGTTTGTGTCTCGGGTTTTAACAAAAAGTTTTAAAAGTAAATGTAAAAATGTTTAAAGGGACAAAAGCTTACAGAATAAGGATGTAAAGAAAAAATATTTTTGTACAGCTGTACAGTGTGTTTCTGTTTTAAGCTAAGTATTACCATAAGAGTCAGAAAATTAAAAAGTTTATAAAGTAAAAATGCTACAATAAGCGAAGTTTAATTTATTATTAAAGAAAATATGTGTTAATAAATTCGGTGCAGGCTTGGCGTAGCTTAAGCGGCTGGGTGTAGCTCGGTGCAGCTGGGTGTGGCTCAAGCAGCTGGGGCACCAGCCACATACACCAGAGCTGGCAGGCTCAAATCCAGCCCGGGCCCACCAAACAACAATGACAACTACAACCAAACAATAGCCAGTCATTGTGGAGGGTACCTGTAGTCCCAGCTACTTGGGAGGCTGAGACAAGAGAATAGCTTAAGCCCAAGAGCTGGACGTTGCTGTAAGCTGTGATGCCATGGCACTCTACCCAGGGTGATAGCTTGAGACTCTGTCTCAAAAAAAAAAAAAAACCTTAAAAAAATAAATAAATAAATATAAATAAGTAAATTCAGTGCAGCCTAAGAGTGCAGTGTTTATAAAGTCCGTGGAAGTGCACAGTAACACCCAGGCCTTCGTGTGCCTCTCACACACCTCTCACTGACTCGCCAGGGCAATTCCAGTCCTGCAAGTCCCATTCCTGGTAAGTGCCCTAGACAGGGGTACCATTTGTTATGTTTTATACCATATTGTTATTATATCTTTTCTATATTTAGGTGGATTTAGAAACACAAATACTTAGCACTGTGCTACAGTTGATGGCAGCCACTGTTACCCTAAATAACCATTACATACAGGGTGCTGCTGGACAGGCCCTGGCAGGGCCAGATGAGCCCGTGTACCACCATCTGCAGTTGTTTATTCTGTTGACTCATATACAAGGCCTTCTGTCTTAAAGTTAAGAGACTGGATGCTCCACGACAGTGGTGTCACAACAGCTTTCCAGGAGGCTGGGAGTCTGGGGAGAGGGCGTTGTGGCAGCAACTCACACACTTCCTGTGTTCTGGAAGGATCACGGGGCGTCCTGCCAAGACTTAGATCAGCTGCAGGGCACCCAGCCTACGTGTCCTTGGGCCATAGCACACCCTGCTCCCCTGAAGGCTCCAGTACTGACATCTGCGGCCCCTTCCTCCCCAGCCCTCCTCCAGACCCGGAGCACTGACTAACTAACGTTTAGTCTAGAGTAGAAATGCTTGGAAGAGATGACCACTTTAAGATAGGGGAATATAGGGTAACCTACAAGGGGGAACCAGTTGAACGCATACTATGATGGTTAATAACACCGCTGATGCTTCTTTTACTATGAGAGCTTAAAGTAACAAAGGGACACAGGACAGCAGAGCAGCCCTTTGAGGAGATAGCCTCACTGCTCCCAGAATTGCCAGCTTTTCTCTAAGTAAAGTGGAATTGTTGATCTCTCATCTGTTTCTCCATCAATTGGCTTGGGTGACGGGTGGATAGATTCCTTGGTCCAGCAACACAGTTGCCTGTGATATTCAGTACAGTACCATGCCGTACAGCTGTGCTGCCTGGTAGCAGCATGCTGTCACCTGCAACCTAGGGATGTAGTAGGTGGCACCATCTAGGTTTGTGTGAACACACTCTATAATGTGTATACGATGACGAAATCATCCAACTACGAAATTCTCAGGACATTATCCCCGTGTTTACTTCTATTGTGGTCCTCAATCCCTCTGAATGCACTTGATGCACTAAGCTTGACCCTGAAAGGAAAGAGAACCAAGCACGAACCAGATGGACCAAGCATCACTCCACACACCCTGGGGGGCCTGACCCAGGGCAGCTTTGCATGCATTTCCAACTTTCAAGCTGCTACTGAGTGACGCATACAGCATGAAGACCAAGTTCGGCCAGAAGGTCTGAGCCTGACCCAGAGAATATCACGGAACCCTTGACACCATAGCCGGAGCCCAGAGGCGCAGAGAACTCAGCCTTTCCACAAAACCCCACTTCCATTCAGACCTTTTCGGTTTACCAAAGATAGAACTGAGGCTTGTCCAAAGCCCTGGTTTATGGAGAACATCAAAAAACTTAGTTACCCATTTCTTGTTATAACAGGATAATATGTTGCAGAATCTACTTTTGTTAATAGAGGTGTTATCAATTAACTTCATACTGTTCGTCAATATCAATCATTTGTACCATGTGGCAGTTTGGTTTGGTTCGTCCAAGGAGTCTGTACTCCTGGTGCCTGACAGTGGTCACAAAGGATGAGTTACACTTGCCCCTACGAGGTCCTGCCCCTGCTTCACGGGATCACAGAGAATGAGCCCATCTCACAGACACTGGACTGCACCAGACGCCCATCCACCTGGCCTTCACAGAGAGCTCCTAGACTGTGGAGCTGCCAACACCTAGCATTGCCCGGGACTGGCAGTGTCAACATCACCTATCAGAAATGCACTCAGACCCAGCTCCAGACCTACTGAATCCGAATCTGTATTTCAGTAACATCTCCTGCTGATTTGCGTAACCGTATCAGCCCCTTCAACTTTTATGCAACAAAGTTGTGAGTTGTTTTTCAGTTGCCATGGACCCCCCAGGTTGAAGGTCACATACCTGAGCACAGTCCAGATGAACCAAGAATAAACCAGGATCCAATCAGATCAAGCCCTGCTGTCACCCCATGGCAAGACCTAATCAGATCATGCCTCATTCCACCATCTCTATCTTGTAAAACCTGATCTAGCCCCCAGCTCAGGAACACAGATTTGAGTGTTTTACTCACAGTAAAACTTTTCTCACTGCAAAAATGCAGTGCTCTGGTGTTTGGCTTTCCATCATGTATGGCCAAACAGACCCAGTTTGGGTCATAACATTTTTATGCACATTAAAGTTTTAAGTTTAAAAAATGTCCGTGTACCTACAAGAAACACACTTCATCAAGAGTCATCCAACCCCTCCCCATGCTTATCCTGGTCTTCTCTGTCATCACCAGTTCAGTCCATGGGCAG